TAGCCCTATATGCCCAATACAAACGAAAGCGTGGAAGAGGTCCTTTGCTTTAGGTTCAGTCTTGTCATGTCTATGGGGGCGCGAAAGATTCCCCCCTTCCCCCTTATATACATATCAGCACCCAACGGCTAATAGCAGCATTTATATTTCAACAGAGATAGTCATTGATTGTTTAATTTGCAGTTTATAGGTTGAACAGTCCAAGCGTCAGCGCGCCTGACATGTTTCACACAGTTGGTCTGCGGTAACTGAGATTTACGCTGGCGGCAAATTTTGTAGTTCATGAACTGTTGGATGTTTACAACATCAAAGGGCGCAGACGACAAGGCTTTTTACTCAGATGGTTGAAATTAGGTCAATACCTTGCCGTCTCTGGACATTATAATTTCTAGTGGTGTTATGTTCATTTTAAAGTTGGGCGGCAAAACTTTATGATACACAAAAGAACAGTTAAACAATCTACGGTTCTCTATGGTTTGTTTGGTCATTAGGAAAGGAAAAAAATAATAAAGGACCCGTTTTGAGCTCAAAATATTGTTAGTATGTCCTGCTTTCAGCTCAAAACATTAGAATAATTTCTTGTTTTCAACTCTAGATATTAGTACAGTAGCATGTCTCGTTTTTAAGCTTAAAATATTAGTAGCATCTCCCGTTTTCAGCTAAAAATATTAGTAGCATCTCCCGTTTTCAGCTAAAAATATTAGTAGCATCTCCCGTTTTCAGCTAAAAAAAATTAGTATCATGTCCCCTTTTCAGCTAAAAATATTAGTATCATGTCCCCTTTTCAGCTAAAAATATTAGTAGCATGTCCCCTTTTCAGCTGAAGATATTAATACAGTAGTAGTGTCCCTCTTTTCAGCTTAAAATGTTAGTAGCATGTCCCGTTTTCAGCTGAAGATATTAAAATCAATTTAGATAATAGTGACTATAATGATAACAATTATGCATGTGCTGATGAAATCACAGCACTATTTTGCACTTTTTCCCTGCCCCAGAGTACAGCAGTTCCAGGTTCCAGTAGTTACTAAATTGATCAAACAATCCAAACTGCTTAATCGACAACGTCACCACTCCCCCATGCCAAGAAAATACACAGCCACTGCATAACTGTACATGTCCAGTTAAAAACAAATTAATCAACAAACCACACCGTCAATAAACATCAAAAGGGACTCCACTTCCTGGTTGACCTGCATGAAGCCGGTAATCAGGCAATAATTATGGCGATAAAGCTAAGGATGTTAATGAGGGCAACAATAAATAAATGGGTTACCCGTAGAAGGAGGACTCGGTAAACTTGACACTAATGCGGACATCTGTGCAGACTTTAGCAGGCACTCACTCTCGGCTCTTGAGTGGCTCTCCGCCCGCAAGTCGTGTTGACAGTTCTCTCCACAGGGAATTATTTGTGTTCTCGGAGTAATATTTTCACTGTTAATTGGCTTCTTCTTCTTCTTCTTCTTCTTCTTCTTCTTCTTCTTCTTCTTCTTCTTCTTCTTCTTTTTCTTCTTCTTCTTCTTCTTCTTCTTCTTCTTCTTCTTCTTCTTCTTCTTCTTCTTCTTCTTCTTCTTTTCTTCTTCTTCTTCTTCTTCTTCTTCTTCTTCTTTTTTTCTTCTTTTTCTTCTTTTTTTTCTTCTTCTTCTTCTTCTTCTTCTTCTTCTTCTTCTTCTTCTTCTTCTTCTTCTTCTTCTTCTTCTTCTTCTTCTTCTTCTTCTTCTTCTTCTTCTTCTTCTTCTTCTTCTTCTTTTTCTTCTTCTTCTCCCTGTACTTCTTCATTTTTGTCTTCTTCTTTTCTTCATTGTTCATCATGATCAAGATTATTGTGTTCCCAATCTGTATCTTCATCACCATCTTCCTCTTATCTAATCAAATAGCTATCCCGCCCAAACACATTTCTATTATGTGTAGATGTCATTTAGTTGGCAACCACTTGATCTTCAGTTTTCATTCGTTGTCATAAAATATTTGAGGTTTGAACAACAGATCAACATCATGGTACACTGGTAGTAACCCATAAGTGCTCCGTTCTACTTCTAACTCATGTCTGAGTCCGAAGTAGCTTAGCGCAGTGCACGGGCTCCATGGCACCGGCGAGGGTCCTGAAATATTTTGGGTAGATGTTTTTAAACCCAAATTTTGTCCGGGCAGCGCCGCTAGGTTACTCCTTTTGATCTCTAACTGCCAAGGGATTTATTTTACGTGTGCAACAATACAAACGGGCGTCCGATCTCACATCCCAGAGACTCGGGAAAATGACTAGAAGTCCACGTGAAAAAATCGCAGCCCTCACAGGGGCCTGAACCTGGGACCTCTAGCACGCGCGGCGGACACCATATCTCAAGACCACGCAGCAAGTGGCTAGTGATCTGTGATATACACGTCTAATTAAGGGTATGGATATACCTGACAACTGCTCACCTGGAAATACGTCCTCGCTGTTCAGGCACGAGCTGACAGTCAGCAGTAAGCCAAGGGTCAAGGTAAGTAAGGTGTGTTCCATCTTGTTCATACCTGAGATTGGACAAATGATTGTATGTTAGACATGAAGCCACCTGCGATTGGACAAATGATTGTATGTTAGACATGAAACCACCTGAGATTGGACAAATGATTGTATGTTAGACTTGAAGCCACCTGAGATTGGACAAGTAATAGTATGTTAGACATGAAGCCACCTGAGATTGGACATGTGATTGTATGTTAGACGTGAAGCCACCTGAGATTGGACAAGTGATTGTATCTAGTCGTTCCTCCCAAGTTTATAATTCTGGCGAGTAATGTGGATTCACAGCCCTGAAAGTTGCATGTAAGTGTATTTGCTTGTACGGGCCTCCTCTGTGTGTCTATATGTACTTGCGCGGATGTGAGCTTGTTTTGTGTACAGACACGTCTGTTTGCCTGCAAGTGTATGTGTGTGTGTGTGTGTGTGTGTGTGTGTGTGTGCCGTTCTGGGTTTGTTTGTGTGTGCATATGTGAGTATACTTGTATGCGGGTGTGCTCGTTTTATGGATTGCTTATATGTACGGGTATGTTTGTGCCTGCATGTGTGTACTTCTGTGTTGTGTGTGTGTGTGTGTGCTCGCGCGTTTGCTAGCATTTGTGTTTTGCATGTGTTTTTACACGTGTGTACGCCTATGTAAGGTGTGTATGCTTCTACGTACAACAACGTTGCGCAAGCTACTGACATCTACAGAGATCAACAACATACAAAAATGAGAATCACCAAATGTTACGTGTAGCTAATCGTGTTATGTGGTGCGGAAACTTGGTCAATGAACAAGCAACTAGAAAATCAACTTGAGTCTCTGGAAATATAGGTATACTAAAGAATAGGTCATATTTAATAGAAACGAAAACAGTCTAATGCAGAGGTTCTAAAATTACTACAAATAAATAGAGAATTGCTGAAAGAAAAAGGGATTTTTGAAATATTTTAGAAACATTAAAAGACATAACACGGTTTTGAAAATCAATCTGGAGGGAACGGTCGAAGGCAAGGGGGCAAGAGGTGGGCAACGATTCAAGTGGGAGGACACTATCAAGAGATAGACAGCAGCATTCTGAGAGAGTGTACAACCAGGACAAGAGACCGGGTGCTAAAATCCATTGCAGCCAACCTTCAAAGTGGAGACGACAACTGATTGACTGACTAAAGTAAGTGTGTGCCTGCATGTTTATGGCGGTCTGTGCTCACATATATGAGTAAAAATGTGTTTGAAATTGTATGTGTACTTACATGTATATAGGATGTGTGCTCACATGAGTATGTGATGTATGTTTACACGTGTTGTGATGTATGTTTACATGTGTTGTGATGTATGTTTACATGTGTTGTGATGTATGTTTACATGTGTTGTGATGTATGTTTACATGTGTTGTGATGTATGTTTACATGTGTTGTGATGTATGTTTACATGTTTTGTGATGTATGTTTACATGTGTTGTGATGTATGTTTACATGTGTTGTAATGTGTGCCAAACATATAAGGTTAGGTTAGTTGCGTATCCTTTACAGGATGTAACAGAACCAACCCCAATAGCCACTGGCTGTTGTGTGGGGTTTTTTTTTTTCAGGCAGTGTATGTCCAGTAGTTTGCCATTGCTTTCTGGACGGTCAAAACCAACGCAGGGCGCGGTGTTCGCAGCTGGGATCGAACCCGGCTATCCAGGCATTACGAAGCGTTCGCATCGACTTAGCCACAGAGCTGACAGACATGTAAGACTTCAGAATTTTACCCGCTGTACCGTAGAATAGAAATGCGACCAGAAATAAAAAGGAATGTAAGCGATGGCAGGAAACGATCACAGAGTTGTAACAATTGGTAACCGTTGATTTTTCAAATGCCGGTGTATTTTGTTTTCTATTTCTGCTTTTTATGTTTTAGGTTGCTGCAGATTGAAGCTGTCACGTTCTGAATTGTCTGTTCAGAAATCCTTCATTGTCTTGAACTGCACTTACAGAGCGCTTGTCGAGCAGAGACAAGTGGACGAAAAGTGTCACACGCAGAGAAGGATTCCTGAAACTAAGAGGGGAATGTGTTTGAGAGAGGCTAAGGGAGAGAAAGAAAGAGAGAGAGAGAGAGAGAGAGAGAGAGAGAGAGAGAGAGAGAGAGAGAGAGAAAGAAAATGAGAGAGATATAGAGAGAGGGAGAGAGAGTGAGAGAGAGAGAAGGGCTGAGAGAATGAGAGAGAGAGAGAAAGAAAATGAGAGAGATATAGAGAGGGAGAGAGAGTGAGAGAGAGAGAGAAGGGCTGAGAGAATGAGAGAGAGAGAGAAAGAAAATAAGAGAGATATAGAGAGACGGAGAGAGAGTGAGAGAGAGAGAAGGGCTGAGAGAATGAGAGAGAGATACACTGACAGACAAATACATAGACAGAGACAGATTATGCCTGTTGTTTCTGCGGTCCTATAGTGTGTGTATGGGGAGGGGGGGGGAGGGTAGACACTGTATATTTAAAAGAATGTCGTAAAAGTCGACTAATTAGGTCTGTCCGTCAAAGTCATAGTGCATCTATTTGACAGACAAGGAAACAACAGCATGCGTACACATAGGCCAGATCTGTAAAATTGTTTTGCATGCAAAACTCCAGTTCCGGATCTAGACTCAGATCCTGGATTGCTGAAGTGGACGAGAAACCAGAACTTTTCATCGGAGTTTATTGTCGGACTTTTGTTTTTGTTGAAAACAGGACCTTGAGAGGGTGACTCCCAGGTTGACCCAGCCTTGAGTGGGTACCGGGTGCAGTTCCGGGAAGTAAAGGCGACCGGCGTGATGCTGACCACATCACCCATCTTGTGCCGATGGGTCTATACAACTATAGTTCTAGCCCTATATGCCCTATACGCGTAAGGGCGTGGAAAAGAGATCTTTACTTTTTCATTGGGATTAGAGAGAAGCGGCTGGTCGAACGGTTAGAGCGCTCGGTTCTCACACGGGAGACTCGGGTTTGAATACTCGGGAAGGATGGCGATTTTTTTATGTCTGGGACAAAATAAAAATCCTCACTTGCACAGTCTGTGGCGACAGCACTAGCACAACGGTCGTGAATCCTCAGTCTCAAAGACCCCATCCCCCTTGACTACACCGCATAAGAAGTATCACAAAGGCAGTAATTGGCAGTTAAGTGGCAGTATGTCAAATACACATACGAACTAACTTGAAATGTTCAAACGCATACTTAAAGGGATAACTTCTATGTGTGGTCAGGGGTCGCCTAACGTGGCTTAAAAATATCATGGGGGAGGAGACTGGCGATGGGAGAGATGGGTGGGGGTGGAAGGGGGTTAAGAGATAATACCCCATCCCCAGGGCCCATGCGAGGGATGACAAATGAAACAACAAGACAAGATAAGGCTCCATGAGGAAAGAAGACGGGAAAAACAGAAGGTTGGTGGCCAGACCTATAATGAATAGAAAGTTACATTAGCAATAATTATGGAACATGTGAATACACAGAAAATGGAAATGGTGAGAGAAGTAGGATGGACGAGCAAGGAAACTGAAGCATATATGTAATATTATCATGAATTAGAGGTAAACAGTGCAAGTGTTGTAAACAACATTGTAAAAGAAACAACAGCTGACAGCAAGAGTAACAACATTGGTCTGTTTCTAAATACTGGAGCAGGTGCCAAAAAGGCTCACTGGATGAGTCGGGTTTAGACGACAGTTTTAGAACCATTGATATGAAAGTTTGGGGGTGGGGAGGGTTGAGGCCGCTTGGTTTTCGAGTCAGAATCAGATCTCCAGCATGGAACCAAGTACAGTCATCATCGCAGCTTCAGAGTGATTCCTATAATGTATGGTCTGTTTGATCGCCATCAGACGACCGGCCCTCCGAGCTTCTCACTCACTATCAGAAGTGATAAACCCGAAAGCACCCCTTGTGAGCCGTTGAACCCCCTCTGTGGGCTTACAATCTAACACTTAGTGAATTACAAGAATGGGTCAACTTTGTAGAATGTAACATGTGGTTTACAAGTTATCTGTAGGGTAGCAAATACAGTGCAAACACTTCTGTTGCAACGGTCTGTTTATTGGGCAATTCAGAAGCAACATAAAACGTAATAAAGAATTCAGTTTATACATAAGTTCCGAACGTTAGGAATTATACTTCCAAAATACCCGGTTCAGTTCAGCTGTAGGCGATTTGGCTGCAGACTGCTTGCTTGCGCTAATTTCGACCATGTTTGGAATGAAAGAAATGGCAAACTGCTTAAAAAAAATATTATTTAAATAAAAGAAAGTAGCGCTTTTTCTGTGTCTTGTAAAAGATACATTGCATTTTTTTTAAAAACACATCAATAATTTTTAGTAAAGCCTATAAGAAATCAACAATCAAATCAAGCTGGAACGGTTAAACCAATGATCAATGACATGAATCCATCGCCTCTTCTATTTGTCCTGAGGTTTAATTGAACTCGTTTGGTTTCCCTGTTTCATTCTCTGTCTAAGGTTGTATACTTTGTCGCTACATCCGTCTCACTTTGTCATGCGTGTTGGGAATCTCACTGACTGCCATCTCAATCACTGGCGCTGCAGTCCGTGCGTTCATCTTGTGAGGAATCGCCTGTCTGAGCACAGATCAAACGCGCACGCAGTCTCATACACACGGCCTCACAAACACGGGAAATTCAAGACACGCTCACACACGTACACTAAGAGATAGAGAGTCTACCCACTAAGTGCTTAACAATTTCCTTATTTCAAAACATTTTAAAACTTTGACATGTTTGATATCATCAATATTGCTACATTGTTATCGACTACCACCACCACTACTACAGCAGCAGCAACAACAACAACAACAACCATTAGTATTGATGTTACTGCTGCGCTTGCTACTACTAGTACTTTTTATACTACTATTATAGCTTCTGCTGCTTCTACTACTACCACCACCACCACAAATACAATATTTCTTCTACTTTTTTTTTCTTCTTGTTCTTCCTCTTCTTCTTCTTCTACTTCTTCTTCTTTTCTTCTTGATCTTCTTCGT